AATAATGGTGAATTATTCAAATGCAGAAATGGCGGAAATGCCTTGCCGACGGTAATGGTGAGCAAGCCAGACGGATTTATCACCAGAGATATCCCGATCGTGCTTTGCCAGATAGTCGAACCTTTTCTAATATGGTGGGCCCCAAGAATGGCCACCAAGGTCCCCTGGCCTCAACAGTTTAGATTTCTTTTTGTGGGGCTATCTTAAGACACTAGTGTACATAAGTCACATTAACACTGTAGAGGAATTAAGAGAAAGAATAGTCGCAGCTTGTGATAGAATAAAAGCAGTCCAGGGATATTTCAACGAGTGCGCAATTACATGAGAAGGAGGGCGGAATCATGCATACTAAGTGAAGAGGGCCATTTTCAACAATTTTTGTAATCATTTCGTTGGTTTTAGTGTCATGTTTATGTTGTCAGTTGTTGTTGTGGATTACCCGTAATGAGTTTAATTTTTCCAATTAAATTAATAATGATTTTGCAAGTTAGACAATAGAACGGTTTTTATTTTTTTACTCAAAAATGGCGCATCGATGGAAAACAATTCAAGAGAGATCATTTGTTTTAAATTGAACGGGGAATTCAAAAATAATTTTTATTTGGTAAAAAAACATTGGCGTACCATTCTTTTCTTAAAAAATATCGAGGTCAATACCCGTATGCAAGCCACTGTTAAAGGTAAAAATTATTTTTGCATTGAAAAATATGCAACTTTATTAACTTTCACTACGTACTAAATATCAGTGAAATATCTGAAGCGGTTCTGAAAATATTAATTAATTTCCATTTTTTCCTAAAACTTCAACATCCTTTGTAAGGAAATATTTTTGGAACATTGTTTATAAAGCAAAATAACATAAATTTTTCATGTAGATTCACACCCTTAAATATTCGCATATCATTAAGGAACACCCTGCATACAGCATTACCTCAAAATGGGGGTAAAAACTACGTGAAAAATGTGCGTTCACATTTTTCTGCTTTAAGATCCAAAGTACGAGTAAATCTGATGCGTGAAATATGTCTAAATGGTGCGTATAATTACCGGGGTTGGAAGCGAATTAATATGCCACTAACAAAAATTGCGATAGACTCCTAATTCGATGTCAGTTTAGTTGTAGGATCCACGGGTGGCCCCAGATAACTAGTTTCTTCATCCCTGACTCGGAACCATGCCTCTATAAGATGATATTCAAATTTGGGGGCCGAAAAATTGAATTTTAATTTTTCAGTAAATAATAAAATGTACATGATAAGCGGGATAAGATACATGTGAAATGAGTTCAGATTCGCTTTTCGCGACCCAAAATACATACGATAGATATGATTTGAAACAGATTTAAAACATTTCTTTTCGAGTCGATGTCAATTTACACTATAACTATCTAAAACTGTAATGACTCATCGATGTTCACGTGAACATCACTTAACTACCAGTAGTCGGCTGTTCATAGGCGGTGTATGAATGTTTAACATGGGTGAACTAGATTTGTCACATGCTTAATAAAGAGTGGTTTGAAACATATTGTAAGTCAAAAATTTGGGAATTACCTTTATTCATCGTCGCTTCCACTTACATCTGACAGTAATAAACTGTCGCTATCGCTTTCCTCGTTGAAATTGACTATAACTGGCTCTATGATGGTGTCGATGTGGTGGTCAAGCTGACACATTTTTGTTTCTTCCTTCACAACATGACGGATAGCATTCTGCCAAGCTTCGGGCGTTACTAGCTGTATGGAAGTCTCAAGTAAAACCTTAACGTCTGGTAATTTGAAGGTTGTGTTATGGCGCGCAATATAACCCTTCACTTGAGCCCAGATGAGCTCTATTGGGTTCAGTTCGCAGTGGTAGGGCGGTAACCGCAGCACAGTGACACCACATTGACGGGCCATCTCATCAGTCATCAGTCACGTAACTAATGTTCGCAGGTTTGTGCTGTTTAATTTTTTCATACAATTCCGCTTTCACACATGAATCGTCAAACGGGATTCCTTTTTCGCGCAACCATTGCTGCATGTCACTTTTTCGAGATCCCATAGTCGGTACACGTTCGGCTCGACGACTATGGTAGGAAGCATTATCCATGACGATCACAGAGTTGGGCTCAACTCGCTGAAGCACCCCTTGAAACCAGCTCTCGAAGCAGCTGGCATTCATTTCGTCATGGTAATCACCTCCTTTCTTAGAGACGAAAATCAAGTCACACTCTTCTAAAAAGCCACTATCGCTACCAATATGAGTTACGATCAATCTTTGACCTTTCCCTGACGGTCCACGAAGACCTGTTGACAAACCTTCAATGCTTGCTTGTCGGTTACTCGCGTAGGTATTTTCGACGCCAGGCGACTATTTCAGGTCTCTCTATCAATACTGACTTCCGATTACGCGTTTCGTAACGAAAATTAATTTCGTGCAGGGATTTCCTCATTACCTCGACGCTCATTTGGGGTATAATTTCATTTTCCTTGATCGCTGCATGTACAGCCTTGAGGGTCGGTATCTCATTCCTAAAGAAGAATGAATGTACGGTTCGCCTTAACGCCATTTTGCTATCGTCATCCAATTTAACGGCCTTTCGTCCCTTCAAATTAAACTTTGGATCAGTAGTAGCTCCAGTTTTCTTCTTTTCATGTACCACCCTGCGGATGGTCCACTCTGGAACGCCTGTCATACTTTCACAACGCGCGAGTGCATCTCCCTGCGACATAGTTCTGTTCAGATAATTGAACACGTTGAGCACGATTTCTTTCGCGTCCCTCTTCAGTGCTTTACGAAGCCGTCTACTTGTTCCCTGGCTTTCAGTACTTCCACTTGTGCCATTTGTACTCTCCATGGTTAAGTATAACCAAAACAGTAACCACAGAAACCACAACAATAACAATCACACAACAATTCTTATAAAAACACACAATATGCGATCGCTCAACGAAACACGTTCCAATGCGTTGCCGACGCCTATGAGTCTGCCGGTCGAGGTGCGTCTTTGATTTCATTGGTTCTACCGGCGGAGAACAATCAGCCATTATTTCCATCTCTGTCTTTGCTGTTGACCACCGCAAAGCCACAGAAACGACATATGTCGTACGCTATACGGCTGTACTGGAAGGAAGCCGGGATCGAGCTCTGATCACGTGTTGATCACGCGTATGAGTCATTACAGTTTCAAATAGTTGTAGTATAGTGCTAGAATCCACGGGTGGCCGCCAGTAGGCGTGGGAATAAAAACGTAAAAACAATAAAGCTTCTACTCATAATGATTTTTTTTTTAAATAAATACTGATTGTTCTAAATCATAAAAATCTATCAACTTTCGCCTCTTCCTGAGCCTTGTCTAGCTATTGTAAATAACTTCATTATACTTGTATTTGCTTGAAATATACAGTGGACAAAAGTATATAGACAAATTAATATTGTGCTGTATTTCTTTTTCAACTTGTTTTATTAATACACCAACCTGTATACATAATTCGTTATAGCATAATACTCACTTATACATAAATAAATTCATTAGACTCCCTTCAATAAAAAATTAATTGCAAAAAATTGGAACTATGAAGGACAAAAATATATAGACAAAGCAAAACAATTATAGAAAAAAAAGCTCATTGAATTATAGAAAACCAACCATGTTTGTTTTAATATTTTGTAGCATAACCATTATTATCAATCACCGCCTGGCATCGTCTCGGCATGGCTTGTAGAAGTTTCTTGATATAAGATTCATCAATCTGTCTCCACTTTTGCTCTAAAGCGGCAAAAAGTTCATCCTTGTTTGAATAATTTTTGTCTCCTACTTGCTTATCTAAGTATTCCCATAGATTTATATCGGGAGACTTTGAGGGCCATTTGAGAACTGGTATTTTTTCATCCATAAAGAATTTCGTTGCGAAATTTGAAGTGTGCTTCGGGTCGTTATCTTGCTGGAAGATTGATCTTAAGGGCATATTGTCTTCCATATAGGGTAACATGACATGCTTTAGTATGTCTGTGTATACAAACTTATCCATAATGCCATCTATTCTATGTAAAGGTCCCATCCCAAACACCGAAAAGCACCCCCAAACCATAACAGACCCGCCTCCATGTTTGACAGTGGGCAAAGTGTACTTGGGGTTCAATCTTTCACCACTAGGACGTCTAACACCATCTGATCCAAACATATTGAACTTGGATTCGTCACTGAAACATAGCCTCTTCCAGTCACAGATGCTCCAATCAAGATGCAACCGTGCAAATTTTAATCGGTCCTTACGGTTTTTCCTCGAGATTAGCGGCTTCTACTTATAGTTTTCGTAGAAACACTGACATTTCCTTTTGTCTCGATTTTGGCTTTTATTTGTCTTGGGGTTTTAAACGGATCTTTGGACGAAATTACTTTCATTAATCTAACTGATCTAGCATTGAGTTTTCTAGGCCGACCGCTTTTCTTAGAGGCTTCCAAGATATCTTTTTGTTTATATTTGTTCAATATTGCCCAAACTGCTTTACGCTTCAGCTTCAAATTTTTGGCAATGTCGACTTGACGTTGACCATCTTTGTATACAATGATCTTAGTTTTCACATCGAAATAAATTTCTGGACCACGCGGCATGGTCTTAAAATCACTCAAATTATTCCACAATACTTGATAACACAAACTAATCCTCTTCTGAGACGAATCTCTACTAAACTAATGTTGAAAAGAAATTGTCTACATATTTTTGTCGCGCATAAAAAAGTGCTTATATTCAGACTTGTGTTCATTGCAGATAATGTAAAAGCAAGGAATTTAGTTTTTCTACAAATAACGCATTTGTTTATGGACCAATGAAGTATGAATTCGTTTTCTAAAGGTATTTTGGTAAATATTCATATTTATCTATATACTTTTGTCCATTACTGTATGTACTTTGCAGAAATCCAGTAAACTACCCCTAAAGCAGAAAACCACAGGTCAGATGATTCATTCCTGGAAAAATGTTTGCTTTTCTGTAGAGTTGAAATACTATTACTCACCTACACAAATTTTTGGGTTTTCATCAGATCCGTCAAGGCAATCTTTTTCATTATCACACACAAAGGAAACTGGTATACACTTGTTATCTCCACATCTGAACTGTCTTGAAGTGCATGGTGATATAGCTTCTGCAACAACGAAAAATATTACAATACACTGCGACTAGACATTTTCGGATTTTGGATATTTTTTCGACAAGATCGTTAAAAATTTGAAAAATGAGAAAAAACAAAATTTTGGAAAACGTTTGTCCCCTCCAATTTTTTTATTACGCTTAATAGTGATCAGTGATCAAAAATCGTATAAAAACACGGTTAATATTTCTGGCTTTTGGTTTATAACGCGGTGCAACAATTGTCAGAAACAGTAATATTATTTACTGTGACTAAACGGCATACTGATTCACAAATGTTAAAATCGATGACTGATTACTGAACCGGAAGACCGACAGGCGGAAATGAGTGGAAAGTACTGAGTTGATCTACTTGACCCTTATTTTTTAGGTATTCTTGCGTATTGATCTAAAAAAGAGACTCTCTAGACAATTTACGATAAAATTCCACACATATCTGAATAATTTTTTTTGAATTGAATTTACATACATTTTTCATGACCATTGACGTAAAAATAATTAATCATAGTGTGAGTATGAAATGATGAAAGGGAAATTGAAACATTTAGCAGATTCAAAATACAACATCAATATTTCCGATAAACATAATTCCTGAAACATCTTCTTATTATATCTTTGTTGTAGATTTCTACGCCTTTGACGTCAATGATTGGGATCAAATTATGAATATCCTTCAAATAACTTTTTAGTGACATCGTTCCCTTAATGTAGTAAGTACAATTTTTGATATCAAATTCCGCTAACTTCAGGGTATTTTCAGAATAGAATGGGTATTTTATATGGATCTTATCTGGTATTTGAGTAATTAAAACAATCTTTGTCCAAAAGAAGTAATCTAACAAAATTTAGGAGAGGCATCTATGAAAAATTGAATAATTCATTTAAAAATTCAAGTTAAGTAAGTAATATTATTTACTGATTCACAAATGTTAAAATCGATGCAGTTATTACTGAGCCGGCAGACCGACAGGTGGAAATGAGTGGAAAGAACTGAGTCAATCTACTTGACTCTTATTTATTTGAGATTCTTGCGTATTGATCTAAAAAAGAGAATCTCTAGACAATTTACGATGAAAATCCACACATACATATCTGAATAATGTTTTTTTGAATTGAATTTACATACACTTTTCACGACCATTGACGTAAAAATAATTAGTCATAGTGTGAGTAGGAAATGATCAACGGGAAATTGAAATATGTATTTCGTTTTTCGCAGTTTCACAGAATTGAATAACGTTATCGTATCTGCAGGGTGATCAAAAACAATTATATTTCTAGAAAAAAGAGCAGATTCAAAAACAATATGAATATTTCCGATGAACATAATTCCTGAAATATCCCATTATCAAGATACAGGGTGTTGTAGATTTCTAGACCTTTGATGTCAATGATTGGGATCGAATTATGAATATCCTTCAAAGAACGTTTTAGTAACATCATATTATTCCCTTAATATAGTAAGTACAATTTTTAGTATCAAAATTTACGAACTTTAGCGTATTTTCAGAATAGAATGGTATTTTATATGAATTTTACCTGGTATTTGAGTAATTGAAACAATCTTTGTCCAAAAGAAATAAACCAACAACATTTTGGAGAGGCATCTATGAAAAATTGAATACTTCATCCCGATTTCACAGCCAATGTTCTAATTTAAGTTAAGTATAAGGTGGGACATCTCAGCTATTTCTAGTTAAAGTTTTAATCACTTTCTATTTATCAGTAGCTATTTGGGGAATGTGTGGCAAAACTGAATTCCATAAAGCACAAGTTTCGCAAAATAGAATATTAAGAATTTTTTTCAACTATTATCGACTTGCCAACAAGAATAATAAGTACACAGAATTAAATGTTTGTAAGCTAGATAAGATTTTGGAATAAGAACAATGTAAAATGATTTTCAAAATTTTAAATAACCTACAAAAGTGTTGTTCTCTGTAGCCCTCCTTAAAACCCGAATGATTATGTATCTTCGATATCGCGTGCCGGACAACACGACGAGCCGTGCACGTGTCCTGATTGTTTGAGCGTGTTTGACTGACATGATCCATTTAATTCCTCTGTTATACATGTCCGTAGCCAATGTTTTTCTAAGAGGGACTAACTTGTGCCGAATATAATCCTTTATGGCTTGGTGATAGCGTTGTGTAAGAAGTGCAGGGTCAACCTACTTGACGCCATTTTTATTTTTCCTCAAGAATACAATAGAGTCGTAAAACCTGTCTATAAAGTATTTTCCTAATGGATACTCTTTGTTAATTTTAACAATTAGAACCAGTTCTGTTTTAATATAATATATGATGTTAGATTGTTTGATTTCACGCGTAAATTAACAATTAGACATGTCAAGATCAAACAGTATCTTTAATTGTACATGTATACGTACATACATATACTAAGTGACATATAAATCCGAACACCCAGTTTAAATGGTTTTATTTTAATAAAATTTTGTATAAGTACTTAATGAAGCATAATAAGTAAATGACAAAAATTTCAAAATGATTGCACTGCTTTAAAGCCCTTTGACCTTTAATAATGTGTGGATGCACCCTGATGTGCTACGCATTGTCCAACGCGCCTAGGCATGCTTCTGATCAGGTAGTCAATGTCCTCCTGTGGTATCTCATTCCAGGCAACCACCAACTCCTCTCGAAGTGCTTCTAGAGTCTGAGGAGGACGTTGCAAATTGAGCAATCTCCTACCCATCATATCCCACACGTGCTCAATTGGGGATAAGTCGGGAGATCTTGGTGGCCATGGTAACAATGTGACATCATTATGTTGAAAGAAGTCTATTGTGACTCTTGCAACATGTTGTCGGGCATTATCTTGTTGGAAAGTTGGATCTGCCAGGGTGTCAAGATAGGGTAAAAGATGGGGTTCCAGAACTTCGCGAATATAACGCTGCGCGTTCATGTTACCTCTGATGAAGATTAAAGGTGACCTGGAACCATAAGCTATAGCACCCCAAACCATAACTCCAACAGTGTGATGAACATGTCTTTCAACAAAGAACTGTGGATTCCTCCTTTCACCACTTCGCCTTCTAACCCTGGCACAACCATCGTGCATGCCTAAACAAAATCGAGACTCGTCACTAAAGACAAACAATACTGTTCCATTCCTGATCCCAGAGTGACCGTTGTCTGCACCACTCAAGGCGATTACGTCGGTGTTCTCGAGTTAAAGGGAGGACCCAGTGTGGCCGGTATGAAAACAAGCCAAAACTTCTCATTCGTCGGTAAACACTTCGCATGCCAATAGGTCTTCCGTGTTCTGGAAACCATTCATTTGCAATGGACCTGGTAGTGGAGAAACGGTCCCTTAAGGCCAATAATCTTAGGCGGCGATCTTCACGGTCTGTTGTTCTACGGCGGCGTCCAGTGCCCCTTGCTCTTTGCGTACGGCCTTCTCTCGACCGGCCACTGCAGACTGAACAGACACTTCTCCCTTTCAAGGGTGAAGAGAGATCCAACCTTCCCCATCTGCTGGGAGGAGGACGAAACAGCGTTTCACTTTCTGGGCTGTTGTCCCGTGTAGTGAGTGAGGTCTAAGGGCTGAGATACTCGAAGCCACGGGGTTTGATGGTGAAGTTGCTTACTCAGCGGAACGGTCGGACATCGTCACCTTTATTAGGAGATCAGGAAGGTTCGACAGGTTAGTGAACTAAGATGTAGTACAATCAGGATCGGCAAAAAGGAACAACTAATGATACTAGCCCGTTTAATAGGAATTTCAAACTTTTCGATCAATTTTCGCCATTATGACTTTAAAATTTTAGTATGCCCAGTATCTCTCGCATTGTTAAGGCAAATCTAGAGACATCTCATACGTGAAAATGCATATTTCAAGGTTGAAAAACACTGTTTTTCGTGTAAAAATGTTAACAAATCAGTAGTTAAAATAAACCTGATTTACTAGGTGAATAGTCCTATAGAACTTTAAAACATGATTTGGTAATCTGACAAAGTGTATTGTCTGTTTTTCTGGTTGCTAATTACGAATTTGTTCTCGGAATTACTCTGTTTGTAAAATAACGGAAACAGCATAGTGGAATCATTGCTAACATTAATAAAACTGAACTGAATAAATAGTGTTCTCTCAAAAATGGTCCATTTTATGAATATCAAACAAAAAAGCATTTTGTGGTAGCTCAAAGATCAATAATATCGTTGAGGTTTTATTAATCAACGAGTACCTATTGCAGTATAGGACATAGGAAGTTGTACATTATTTTTTTGTCTTTCGTATGCATACCAGATATTGACATATCATTCGGTGATACCCTTCATGTGATATTTTAAAACTTCAATTATTGCAATTTCCCTAGAACTTTTATTAAAATAAAACCATTTAAACTGGGTGTTCGGATTTATATGTCACTTAATATATTTTGATCTTTGGAATGCTGCTTAAATCTGACCCTACCTTAACTTGTTGTAATCGATCAGCCAAATAGTTCTCAAATAAGCTCAGAACTCCACTACGCACTTCAACACTTTTTGGTTTCTTTAATAAAATTGTATGAGATACTGAATCGAAAGCCTTTTGAAGATCTAGGAAAACTGCAACAGTCTTATTTCCATCTTGGAAATTTTCAAGCACTTGTCCTATAAGTTCTTGTAGAGATTGCTGTGTATTGCAATTTTTGCGGAACCCAAATTGACAGTTCGATATTATGTCATATTTCTCAAGAAAAGAACAAAGTCTGCTATTCAAACACTTCTCAAAAATCTTCCCAAATACTTTGTTAACTGAAATAGGTCTATAATTGAACATATTGTCTTCACTTCCAGATATAAATATTGGTGTCACTATGTTTTCTTTAAATTGGCGAGGAATGACTGAGGATTTAAAACAGAGCTTGATAATGTGAGTTATAGAGTGACTGTTATATTTCATGATCATCTTGATAGTTTTACTGTGTAAGCCATCTTTTCCGGGTGCGGCATTATTTTAGAGTTTACAAACTATTTGCTGTAACTCTAT